TGAGGCAGAAGGATCGCTGGAGCCCAGCAGGTCGAGGCTGGGGTGGCCGGGAGCGGCCACTGCACTCCAGTCAGGGCAACAGAGAGAGACTCCAACTCAAAAAAAAAAAGAATTAAATGGATTAGTATCTGTGAAGTGCTGAGCACAGTGCCCACACATGATAAGCCCTCAGCAAACCCACCACAACTCTCTCTGCACTCCTGTGTTGGGGCCATGTAGTGAGTACACGGCTGTCATGGCCTGGCCATGTGGTGAGCATGCAGCTGTCTTCACGTCAGGCCACGTGGTGACTACACAGCCTGTCAGGCCATGTGATGAGAACACATCTGTCTTAGCCGTTGGGTCATGTGATGAGCACGCAGCTGTTACTGTCATCGGGTCATGTGGTGAGCACATAGCTGTCGCTGCTGGCTATCTCTGTTTATAGGTGATGATGGCCTCCAAAAGAAGGAGGCGTGTGTCCCACTCTGTGCCCACAACACGGTGTAGTGTCCGGCACGCAGGAGGTGCTTACGAGCATCGGTTAACAGGAATTCCAGAGAGGAAACCTGGGAGGAGGGGAGGACCTGGCTGCCACCTACCTTGTCATTCAGGAAGCCAATCTTGAGAATGCTCTGCATTTCAGGAACCCCTTCAGCCATGGTGAGGTCCCCCAAGGAATCTCCCAGCAGGATGACGTTGGTTTTGCCCTGAAGCTGCTGGAAGTAACTGGAGTTCTCACACATGGAGCTATTCTTGTTGTACGTGTGGATGAGCTGGCCCTTAAATCCCTGTAGGAAACCCTAAACAATCAAGATGAGAGATGACAGAAGAGCTATAGGAACCAACATAGCATTGGTTGGTTCACAGATGATGCCAAACTTCACTGTCATCTAAATGAGGGCCCCTGGTCAGATCTGGCCTGTTTGTTTTGGTTTTTTTGAGGTGAGGTTTCACTCTGTCGCCCAGGCTAGAGTACAATAACATCATCAAGGCTCACAGCAACTTTGAGCACCTGGGCTCAGGCGATCCGCCTGCCTCAGCCTCTCAAAGTGCTGAGATTATAGGCATGAGCCACTGTCCCCAGCATGACCTTTTTTTTTGGTTTTGTTTTTTTTTTTTGAGTTGGAGTCTCACTCTGTCACCCAGACAGGAGTGCAGTAGCTTCTCCCAGCCACCGTAGCCTCGACCTGCTGGGCTCCGGCGATCCTTCCGCCTCAGCCTTCCAAGTAGCTGGAACTACAGGCACGTGCTACCACATCCGGCTAATTTTTGATTTATTGTAGAGATGAGGTCTCACCAAGTTGCCCAAGCAGGTCTCGAACCCACGGGCTCAGGTAATCCATTCATCTCGGCCTCCCAAAGTGCTGGGATTACAGGCTGAGCCACTGAGCCCAGCCTGACCTGTTTTATAAATAAAGTTTTATGGGGACTCAGCCACACTTTTTCCCATATTGCCTGTGCCTGCTTTTTTATGTTATAACAACAAAATGGAACAGCCATAACGGAGACAGCACGGCCCACACAGCCTAAAATATTTACCATGGGGCCTCTTAATTCCTGGTTTAAACTAACGGGAGCCACCAGATACTGCTGATCACCCATCCTGGTGGAAGCATGATGCTCGTGACCTAAATGCTGTTCAGGTGACAGCATGCTGTTGCTTGGCCACAGCCACATCCTCACCACAGGAAGAAGTCAGAATGGGGGTAAGCCGGAGCTGCCCATCTCTGGGAAAAACAAGGCAAAGTCTAAGCCCCTCAGGAACCAGGAGGGCACATGACCTGAGACAGGGACATGGGGCTGGGCTGACCCATAAACTAGGCATTCCATGGCAGAACTACCAGCCACACACCAAATACAGGGCCCTGAGAGTAACCCCTGCATAACTGTAATGGCCCAAGGGCAGAGACCTGACTGTCTTCCCTCCCCTCCCTCCTGGGTTAGGGCAAGGCGCCTGGGCTGGGGGTCCCCATCCTCCCTGCTTCCCAGCTCACATCTTCATCAAAATCCATGTAGTTGGACACGACGTGGATGTTGGGGTGGAACACCTGCATCTGCCGGATGATTTCTTCTAGGATGTCACCAATGCCCGCAGAAAAGATGAAGAGGGGAATGTTGTGATGGTACAGCGTGTTGAAGAATGTCTTGTAGCCCTCCCTGGAACGAGACAAGGGAATTCCGAGGTGGCACCACCTCTGCTACTGCTCTTTGTTTTCTACTTGGGTTACATGTTTTTTTTGTTTTGTTTTTTGAGTTGGAGTCTCACTCCATCGCCCATGCTGGAGTGCAGTGGGCACGCTCATGGCCCTCTCAGCGTAGACCTGCTGGGTTCCGGCAATCCTTCTGCCTCAGCCTTCCAAGTAGCCGGAACTACAGGCACATGCCACGGCACCCGGCTAATTTTTGATTTATTGTAGAGACGAGGTCTCGCCAAGTTGTCTGGGATGGTATTGAATCTGCAGGCTTAGGTAATCCACTTGCCTTCGCCTCCCAAAGTGCTGGAATTACAGGCTGAGCCACTGAGCTCCACCGAAAAAGAAAACTTTTTAAAAATGTAACCTGAACCGGGCTCAGTGGCTCAGCCTGTAAACCCGTGCTTTGGGAGGCTGAGGTGAGTGGATTGCTTGAGCCTGTGGGTTCGAGACCCGCCTGGGCAACA